AAGCTGGGAAGAGTCCAGGAGCATCCCTTTTCCAAGAAAAGGTTTGTAAAAAGGAGATGGCTTGGCTATGGAGAAGACACACTACATCAGACATTAATAACAGTGTTTTACAGGCAGGAAAGGGACATCTGTAAGATCCCGCAGTGGACGCACCTGTGAAATAATCTGTTGTTGTGTTGTTGTCAATGCTTGACCAGAGGGACCCCAAGGTGATCTCTGCTCAAGCAAAGCTCTGCCCCAGCCAGAACACCTCCTGCTCACCACAGCTCTGTGCTGTGCGCCAGCACAAGTGGGAGCAGGCTCTGAACTTTCCCCTAGTTGAACAACAGAGCTCACACACCCACCTGCAGCTGCCACCGAATGCCTGCTGGTATTTTAAGTAATGCAGGAGAGATACATACAGATAGAAGAATAACTGCAAATGGAAATGTCTGCTCATTAAGCTGCTGGTGAACACTGCTCTGATTGCTTCCAAGGATTCTCATCCACTGCCTTTGTCACTGTGCTGTCAGAGTCAGGGTTCTCCGTCATCTCTCATACATTCAGATCCCAGATCACATGCTCGGCAGGAAAGGACTTTCCGAACTGCTGAAGGGCAGCCATGCTGCACTGACAAGTCCTAGCACTGCAACAGTTACGCTCAGAAGATGATTTGGGAAATCCCCTAGCGCAGACTGAGCAAGGTCATTATCCTTGAAGCTTCAAGGATGAGGAAGAATGTGAAAAACAACATGGATTTTTAAACCATAAAAATAGGAAAATAAAATGATCCCTCACACTTTGGGCTTATTTCTACAGTACTGAGGAGACCTTAAAAATAAGTCTTTTCTAAGCACAACTCTGCTGCTCCCTTAAAGTGCTGATATGCTGTCCACTCAAAAACTGTAAGACGCAGCATTTATGTCCTGCAAGGAGTAAGCATGATTACAGAACCACAGAATGACTTGGCTTGGAAGTGACCTAAAAGATAATGCATCCAAAAAACCCACTCCCCAGGTTTTTAAGAGTAGCCACTAAAACATGTATCTCTGAAGAAGTCCCTTTGTGTTTAGAGGTCAAAAAGGAACACAGGCATTGCTGTGGGCTTGGGACAAACACTACAACCTACATGCACACAGTGGAGCAAAATGAGGCTGCCTGCTATATCCACTGTTGTTTTTCACTTATTTAATCAGAATTCAAACTCTGTTTTAAAGGCCTGCTGATGCTCCTTAGCCTGCTCTCCCAGCAGCACAGCTCTGACTGTGCCTCTCATTCACCACTCCACTGATTCCTGCCCATCTCCTCCACGGTTGTGCCCGCACAGCTGCTGTCAGCACAGGCTTCTGACCAAGTCAGCAGAATTTTCTCTCCTTTTGACCAGCAGGTTAGATACCCTCACCGTCTGCTGAATCACAAAGCACGGCTTTACAAACAGACTGGGGTTAGGGACTTTGCACTTCAGCCTTGTTTTACAACAGCTCTCTTTCAGCCCCACTGTCCACATCTCCCAGCTGCTATGGGGCAGCTCCATAGAACTAATTCCAGACAAAACGAGAAGGCACAGACAAACTAGCAAGGAAATATGGAAACCACAACCTCACCCAGCAGCCAAGTTATGCCAAACTCAACCAATCGCAATAGGGTTCGGAGTGAAATTACTCCAATTTTGGAAGATGTGAGAGACAACTCCTACAGATGCTCCTGAGCTGCAGAAGGAATCAAAAGCTCAACTGGAAAAACACCAGGATGCGGGTTTAAGCACTCACTGCCTGACCTGGATCACAGAATAGGTTTGGGCAGGGAGGGACCTCAAAGAACGTCTAGTTCCAGCAGCCCTGCAGGCATGCTTGCAAGTGGGTGGATTCCAAAGGCAAAGGCAGACGTTGCAGATCCTCTATGCAACTGTTACTCCCGGGGTAGAGCGATCTTTCAGGGCCCGTAAGCAGCTAAAAGCAGCCCTATGAGAAGCAGAGAGGGAAGAACGGTGCGGTGCCGGCAGCTGAGAGCACAGGGAGGCGACCACCAACGCCCACAGCTCCGCGCAGCTCCGCCGAAACGTCCGCGCAAACCACTTAGGAGCTGACGGAGCTTCCCGCAGCCGCTCAGCTGTCGCTACGACCACGGGCAGAAATTACCACACGGACGCTCCCAGGCCCGGACCCCGGACTGCCCACACCGGGACCTTCGGGCCGCGCCGAGGGGCCCACAGACGGCAGGGAGCCGCCCGACGAGAGCCCACAGAGGCCGAAAGGGACCGAGAAGGGCCGGAAAGTGTCGAAAGGCGCCGAGAAGAACCGAAAGGTGCCGAACGGCGCTAGCGAAATCCTCACCTCTCAGCAGCGCCATGGTCCGCGCCCTCCCGCTCTGCCGCCGGCTCCGCCCGCCCCGCCCCACCCCTCCGCACATTCGTCACGCTGCGAGCGAGGGAGGCAGTGACTGAATCGCAGCCGCCGCTTTAAATCTGATTTTAAATCTGATTTCATTTATTCGTTTTCGGTTTTACTGAAATCTGATTTAATTTCTTTCCTTCCTCGCCGCCACCCGAACCTGAGGGCGAATCGGCTGTGAGGCAACGGCGGCTCGCAGCGCGTTGCCTAGCAACGGCGGTGGGGTAGGCCGCAGGCGGAGCGGCCTGCGGGGCGTTTGGGAGCCACGGGCCGGTGGTGGAGTGGTCTCGGGCTTCTGTCAGCCGCCTCTACCTGCACAGTCGCCACAGAGAGCCGCAGAGATCTCTAGACGGCTTCCCTGTGCTCCGCCCCTGTTTTGGGTGGGGAATCCTTCCCCCGGAGTGCCGCACGAAGCTCTATTGTTTGAGAAGAAGTGGCATCTGTGTGAGTAAAAAGTGCTGGCAGAGCAGTTGTGGATGTCGCAAAAAGGAGGATTACACTTTATTACAGGTATTGCCACATGGCTTCAGCTGAAGGCTTTGAGAATTAGAACATTTATTTGAGGTTTATCCTAGGAAAATGAGCGTTTTTATTAAAAGAAAAATCTGCTGTTTTGCTTGTAATTCCATTGATTTCATGATTCTGGGTGCAGTGACAAGTAATAATCTTAAGGGAAAGTGGGGACAGGAATAAAGAAAAAGATATTTTATATTTTCCCTTTTTGCCACCAACTTACCTCTGATCACTTCAGCCCACAGAATCACCAAATGGCCAGGCTTGGAAGAGACCTCAAGGATCACGAAGCTCCAACCCCCTGCCACATGCAGGGCCACCAACCTCCACATTTCACAGCAGCCCAGGCTGCCCAGGGCCCCATCCAACCTGGCCTTGAACACCTCCAGGGATGGACGGGGCATCACAGCCTCTCTGGGCAGCTGTTCCAGCACCTCACCACTCTCATAGCAAAGAACTTCCCCTGACATCCAACCTCAATCTTCCCTCCCTCAACTTAAAACCATTTCCCCTTGTTCTGTCACTATCAACTCTTTCAAAGAGTTGATTCCCCTCCTGTTTGCAGGCTCCCTTTAGGTACTGAAAGCTGCCATGAGGTCACCCCACAGCCTTCTTTTCTCCAGGCTGAACAAGCCCAGCTCCCTCAGCCTGTCCTCACAGGGGAGGTGCCCCAGTCCCCTGATCATCTCTGTGGCTCCTCTGGACCCTCTCCAACAGCTCCCTGTCCTTCTTGTACTGGGGGCTCCAGACCTGGACGCAGCACTGCAGATGGGGCCTCACAGGAGCAGAGCAGAGGGGGACAATCACCTCCCTGTCCCTGCTGGCCACCCCTCTGCTGATGGAGCCCAGGATGCCATTTGCTTTCCAAGCTGCAATGCACACTGCTGGCTCATGTTCAGCTTTTCATCTATCAGGACCCCCAGGTCCTTCTCTGCAGGGCTGCTCTCAAGGACCGCTCCTTCCAGTCTGTACAGCCTTGGATTCCTCCAGCCTTGGATTCCTCCAGCCCAAGTGTAAATCCTTGCACTTTGCTATGTTGAGCGTCACTAGCTCCATTCATTGCTGAGACCACAATACCTAATGCTCACTTCTATATGTAATTAGAAATAGAGTGTTTCCAATATATAAATACTGAAATGAGTGTTTAATTCCCATTTTTAACCAAAAATCACTGTTTCTTCTGAACTGTTTCTTTTACAGTTCTTTCTCTAACCATGGTGGAATACTACAGTAACTTATATCATTTTCCTGTTAACAAAGGCATAGTGTACAGATGTGTAAAAAATGGAAAAGTATTCAACAACAAGCAGTATCTCATTGCCAGCATTTGCTCCTATTTATCATTCTGCTTCTGCTGAGAAAAGGAGCCCTGCAGCTTCTCAATTGCCAGTGAAGGAAGTGTGAAGAAATGTTCCAAGCAGCGTTCTCAGTGTGAAGAACTCCTGTGCACTGCACATAACCATCATTACAGAAATTGCTTTGTTTGCAGTTCTCACAGCTAAAGGAAAACAAAGCAATCTTTGGGTGGTTTTTTTTTTTGCTTCTCTTTTTTTTTTTGTCTCAGCATTTTAATCCAACTTACAAAACGTTTTGCAACAGTGATGCCTCTTTCATTTTGCCACAACCTCTGTCATTTTGCATCCACACCTCTTAACGAGCCTGAATAAAATACAGGGATTGATGTGAAAAAACGCTTCCTCCTGCAACTCACCTGGGGGATTTCCTGTGCTGTAAGTGCTGTGCTGAACTGTAATGCATTTCTCCATCCAATGTATTTTTTTGTAAGGTCTGGATGGTGTATAAGTTCCATCATACAGAAATAAACACACTGATCAGCTCTTCAGCCTACTTGGCACGGAAGCTCACTGAAATACCACTTTATAAAATTTAATTTGCAAACTGAAATGCTGTGACTAAGAATCTCTGCAGTTAGTAATCAATTCCAGGTTCGGAGCTGATGGTGAATCGCCTCAGAGCCACGCTGCAGTACCGCGCTGCATCCGGAAGGTGGCGCAGTTCAGCACTACTGGCGGGGGGCGGGAGTATGCAAATTAACCTCGGCGCTAAGCCAATCAGCTTCCAGCGCGCGCTGAGCGGAGACAGATGGGAGCAAAGCGGTCCGGTGTCGGGGCTCGGTCTGGAGCGCGAATGGAGAAAGAGAGAAGAGACAGCGTAGAATCTACGGGGAAAGGCCGTTCAGAGCTGTTGGTCTCGATACTGCTTCCCGCTCTGACTTCGGAGGGGTCTCGAGATGCCAAGGTAGTAACGGGGAAGGCATAACGTCATGAGTGTGGTGCGTTTGCGCAGGGTCTTACTGAAAGGTTTTAGGAAAGGAGTTCTGATTGCGTTTAGCGGTTCGGAACGTGCGCGGTCAGCTTGCTGCTAGCGCAGGTTTTGACCCATGCGGTGAGTGGCTGTTAGAGCAGCGGAGTGTTGCTGACTGTCGTTCCGAATCTGCAGCCGGCTCTCTCTATGGTAACAATCTCCAGGGCCTGCTACACGTGCTCCTGTGTTCCCGGAAGTAGCGTCTGATTGTAGTCGACGCCTACGCCCCTGGTCCGCTGTTATCTATGGTTTTCAGTCCTCCAGAAAGTGAAACGCACGTGCTCGGTAACGCGGAAGTAGCGTCTTTTTGCAGGGACAGCGGCACGCCAGCAGCACGCTGAGCTCTATTGAACCGGGGCCTCCTGACTCTAGTACGCACGCGCACGGCAACGCGCAGGTGCCGCCGTTACGGTACGTGCAGTGTCGCACCGCAGTCAGCGGGGAGCAGCAAAGAGCCGCTGCGCATGCGCGCTGCTTGACCTCCACTATGGTTTAGCACGCGTGCGCGATTCACATGGAAGACCAACGGCCATAGAGTCTGCTGGAACTCGGAGCCTAGCGCGGCCTGCAGGAAGTCGCTATGTTTACTTCCTGTTACGGCGGGTCGCAGCTACGTGGCGGTGCGGTGCAGACCATGAGGTCTGTCAGCAGCGCGGAGCCTTGAGCTCCTTCTCTCGGAAGGGCCCCAGGCCTGCCGGCGATGTCTCGTTCTGCACCCAGTCTGACCCTTCGGGCCCGGCCTTGTACTTTTCTTCCCGTGCTGATGCTGCAGCCGAGGCCCTGTGAGCAACAGTCACACTGCAGCACCCTGCTGCCCAGGACGGCCTTCCAATTAAAACCTTTTTGTATTCTTAAAATGCTTCTTGGTAAATGCTTCTAAGAAAGATGAGTGAATCAGTTTTAAACTAACAAGCTCAACCACACCACGTAACCTCATCAGAAACGCTGACGTTGGATAGCATATTGCCGCCCACCGCACGTCCCCATCACGTTCTTCCTGCTCTTTTGTCCAAGCAAATCTTCCTACCAACAACACATCTGTCTCTCGCTTCTCTTCTCTCTCCCTCTATGGACCTGGGTCTTCTTGTCCCCATGTGCCCATCAGCTCCACAGTGTGCTGTAGAGCACTGCAGAGACCTCTCAGTGCACTCTTTAAGTGCATTTCCCAGGGAAATCACTTCCCTGTCAATCAGATCCCACCACTTCAATCTGCTCTCATATTTCAGGGCAGCCTTCCTAGATTTCCTAAGTCTCCCAAGGGTCCCAGTGTACTTTAGGGCACCCTACAACAGTACCCAGAACCCCAGGGGACCACAGTATGGACCCCAGGGCCCTCCGTTGTGACACAGAGGTCTCTCAGGGCCCTATAGCGAGCTCTAGGAGAAGCTAGACACATCCCAGAGCTATTGAGTGTGGTCTCAGGTGCTCTAACATATGTACGTTAGAAGTTACTACTGAATTCCAGGTGGTGAAGCAAGCTGATTCTTTACCTGTCAGTGTGTCAATATGTATATGCTTGGGTATGTGTGTGTAGAACTACATCCATATACATGGTGCTACCAGCGTAACACTCACCAAGCCATCCCCAAGGAAGCATTTCACACCAGAGATAATCCACATTAAGGAGTCCGGAGTGTGCAGAGCAATCCATGTGAGGCCCCTGTGTGTTCAGATCCGCAGAAGAGCCTTCTTCTGTCTCCTATGAAGAAAGGTTGAGGGAGTTTGACTTCTTTAGCTTGGAGAAGATCTCACGCAGCCTTCAATACTGAAGGGAGCTTACAAGCAGGAGGGGGACTGACTTTTTATACAGTCTCATTGTGATAGGACAAGGGGGAATGGCTTTAAACTAAAAGAGGAGAGATTTAGGTGAGATGTTAGGAAGACATTTTTTGCTCAGAGAGTGGCAAGAGGCTGGCAAAGGCTGCTGATAGAGTCTGTGGATGCCCTATCTCTGGAGACATCTGAGGAGCCCTGGGCAGCCTAAGCTGGTGGTTAGCAACAAACGCATGGTGAGGGGGTGGTCTTTAAGCTTCCCTCCCACCTAAGCCATTCTATGATTCTGTGATTTCGTACAGGGGTTTGTTTTTGCTGAAAGTGAATTGCTCTTTATACCTTTCCGAGGTACATATGTAAACAGGCTTAGGACATGAATTACTGTCTTTGTCCTTCAGCATGGTTTCTTGCTTCTGCTTCTATCCCTTATCAGAAATGTCTCAGGTTCCCATGGAGATCTCCAAACTCATCCAGAACGCCTTGGAGACCACTGGCTAAGGAGATACCCACTTCTGTCAGTAAATTTACTGGATTGTCTTTTGGCTGTTCACTCCAAACTCACTACTGCTGTGCAGCCAGGGATCGCAGCTTCTCCTCTGCAGAACAGCACCCAAAAGGCAGTTCATAGGGCCCTTAATATCAGCCAAAACATCTAAGCCACTACTGAGAGATGCTCTAGAATGGCTGCTGCAAACAGAGGTCTTAACTACTTTGCTCATTTTGTCTTTACTCAGTAGCACAGAAAACTCAGTATTGCCTTGCAGCCAAATAGATATTTCTAGTTACAAGCTATGTATTTTTTCTCATCTTTTCTTTGCCATATGCACAAAAACTGCAGACAGAACCTCTTTAAATAAAATGTTTTGCAGGTGAATTGCCATGATTTGAGAGTTGAGATAAGAACTAGAGGTCTTCATAGGTAAACCAAATTATCAGTCAATTAATCTGATTACAGGTGAAGCTATATTTCTTATGATGGGAAAGGTGAGCCTTCTGTTACTGACTATAATTACAAACATGGAGTGTATCTGCATCCCTTCTAGTGAAAACTATAAGCAGTTACCACAATAGATCAGTGAGGATGGCTGTGTTTTATGTTGCCAAGAGCAGTGCTGCAGCCCTCAGTGGTTCTTGTTCTCTCAGCCATGAACTCTGCATGGGGAAGAGCTGATCAGTCTGCTCCAGTGGCATGGCTGTAGGCATTATCCCCACTCAGACCTCCATGTGTGCAAACAAATCTCTCCACCATTCACAACTTTGGTCACTCAGTGCACTTATGTTTTCCCTCTCTTTCTCCCTCTCTCCACAAACTTTCCTTTCTTGTCCCTACACCTCCTAACACCCTTCTGTTCGTTCTTCCTTAAACAATTTGACTGCAATCAACAATATGGGTCAAACAGCTGCTCTGCAACTTGCTGGTTCTCAGGAGATTCTCCTACAATGAATCAGACTACTAAGATCACTGGATGATTCTACTTTTATAGCATTTTTCCTAAGTTTTGACAGTGGTTCCCTATTAGGTTCTGTGATAAAAACTTTGTCTCCATAAACTCAAAGCACGCATAGACATTACAGCAGGTGGAGAAAGCCCCATTTTGTCTCAAAGTGATAAGGCCACGTGACAGCTCGATCAGATAGCTTTTTGCTGCCTGTTTTCTTCATTGGTGTTGCTCTGTGTCCCTGGTGCATATCTTTGAAAGCAATATGCACTGAGTATTTTCAAAAAAGGAACCATCATCCTATTGCTTGCTGGTTTTCACTGGTGTCACAGCTGTTGCTGTCAGAAGAACAGTTGCTTTCACTCGCTGCCTCTAATAACCCCTCTATATTTCACGTGCCAATACACAATCTATAGACCTGGGTAGCATGCAAACCCTTCCCATCATAGTATTGCATTAATCACTAGCTTTCTTCTCCTGCCATCACTCAGCCTACCCGGTCCTGGATGGTTCTGTGACATCCACCAGTATGTGACGTGAATTTCAGCCTGCATTCACCATAACCACCTTATTGTTGGTGATGGGGAATGGGGCAGAATACCAGTGTCTGCATGCTACTGGCTCTGCGTGGAACAGCTGATCTGCTTACAAGATGCAGGTCTTTATATCCTAACCTAGCCCTACAAAGCATCTTTTCCTCTTCTTTCATCCACCTTTAGTTCCCACAGGCCTTCATTATGAAGATTTCAATTGATTGCTGCTAACATGCACTTGAGTCCAAATATCTGTGCTATTCATAGCCAAGCGCTCATTCAGCTAAATGCTTGGCTGTGTGTCAGTGCTCCTTTGATCAAACTGAATAAAAGACTTAACCAGGTGTTCCTCACAGCCCCAGGTCATCGGAAGGAATTCAACACTGCAGGGATGACGTGCAGGAATAAAATCTCTCTGAAGTATGCAGCGTAGATGATGCCCAGGGCTCCAGCAAACAGGAAGAAAGATTTTGCCAAAGCAGGACTTTATCTGCTTCAGAAGCCTTTCAAAGGTATCTGCTAAGTGGAAGGCAAAGAGAGGTACTTACTTACGTGTGCCTAAGTCTATTCTTGTGCTGCAGGGAGCAAGGAGTGGGCTGCACACAGACACGTTACTTTGTGGTGGTATTTCTCTTGCTCTTATGTGATGGGGCAGAGATTTTTCCACCTCTTCTGAGACTCCTCTCTGTGCCTGAGTAACGCACGACCTTACAGCCACGTTTTTGCCAGGATAACAAGAGGTTCTGCTCTACGGATGCACATGCCTCTTGCTTCTCGTTGTGCTGCTCTAGCGCTTTGCCACACACCCTCCTGGCTTTGTCAGCCTCCCACTTTCGTGCCACTTTTTCCACCTTTCATCGCTGTGAAGCCTCTGTGCAGGCGGTCACCGATTCCCGCAGAACTCTCACAAGTCTCATTGCAGCAACAGGGGGCACTCTCGCACCGCAGTCTCTGCACGGCCGCATTAGGGTCTATCAGCTCCGGCAAGCAATCATTTGTCACCGCGTGGTTAATTCTCCACTTTGCAACTGACTGCCAGTGCTAAGAATACTCCTTGAAAACGGACAGCAAAGATGCGCTCCTCGGCTGTGTCAGCTTCCCTAAAGTTGCTTTATGCTGTCTCCAACTCAAGAACAGATGAGCAATTCATTCCATCAGTGGCTGAGACCCTTTCATCTCATCTCATCTC